ATATGCGACGATACATGATCTATCTTTGGTCGCGTTTGAAAAATCGGGAGGAAAGTAGACGACGATCCGAAGCGTCGTCGCCGACCCCTGGGAACGTCAGCGTGACGTCGGATGAGGAGAACCCGCGAGCGTGCCGCGAAGTTCCCGTCATCTGGGAACACACGATACCTTCTCTTGGTACATACTAATGGATGGGTCGATGGAGGTTCGTGACTCCATCGTTTGGGCGGGTACCGGTGCATGCGAAAACCAGGGCACGTCGTCGGTCTCTGATGCAATGCCCTCGCTCCGCTCTTTGCGGGAAAGATTCCGCTCTTTGTGAGAAAGATTCCACTCATTGCTGGAGCGATTCCGGACTTTGCGAGAACGATTCGGCTCCTTGCAAGGAGGATTCCGCTCTTTGCGAGAACCATTCCGCTCTTTGCGGGAATGATTCCGCTCCTTGCAAGGAGGATTCCGCTCTTTGCGAGAACCATTCCGCTCTTTGCGGGAACGATTCCGCTCGCCGTCGTCCTTACCTACGACGATCGGCTCTAATTTCGATTTGCGAATCCCACGCGGGCGAATTGGCCCGATTTGCCGGCGATTTCCGCTGGCCGGCTGCGATTAGCCGTGATCTTCGCCGGCTGGAGGCAATTATATTCCTACGCGGGACGACGCGAGACAAGTCCTCGACGAGCAGCCTCGTTCCCCGTATCGATGACTATCAGAGGACGTGGGCGACGATACGAATCGGCCCCTGGAACGAACCTTCTCCCATCTCCCGGGTTCCGGGAAGAGATTTCTGTCGTTTCGCAATCCCCGATTCCGGCCCCCCCAGAGGGGACTCTTCGGCAGCGCGCGGAGCCCTTGCGAAACAACGCGAGGAGGGGTACGCCTCGCGCAGCCTCCTTCGGATGACGTTTACAGAAATATCTGACTACGTCAAACGGATCGTACCAGAAAAGTATGGATTCGTTTGACTAGGAAGGAACGAGCTACACAAAGAAAGAAGGAAAGTTAATCGAACCAAAGAGACATTTTGCAAATTCAAAGAATAATTATATCACTCGAATAAACTCAAACTGTATGTCTTATTTATACGGAATTATGATAATTTATTTCAGCTTACTCGAGTAGAATAATTATTCTTAGAATTAACAAAATATTTCATCGTTGCCATTAAATGAAATGTATCTCTGGTTCATCGAAATTTTCTATTCTCGGTGTACCAAATCTAGCGTATTAAACATCGGCACCGAGATCCTGAGAACCTGCGCGAGATTGGCGGTTCCATTCCGTCTTAATCACTAGCCTAATCAAAACTAAGACCCACGTCGCTCTTGGGCCTTAAAATCAACAACCGATCGGTCAAGAAATACGAATAAAAAAGAAAAGGAGCCGTCCTCTTCGAGGTAGTTCGAGGAACCGAGAGAGGCGAGTCGCGTCGGCACTCTTACGGTAAACCGCGGCGGAAAGACCGCGACGGAGGGACTTAAAGGGCCTCAAAAGAGCCCGCCTCGGGCCCGGATAGAGGGGCCCTTTATCCGCGTCCGCGCAGGAGTTACACGTCCGAGCATCGTGGGCGTTTCCGTAAAAGGTCCCATGAAAAAAAGAGCCGGCCTGAATGGGCCTCTTCCTCGTGTGTACATCGTGCACGTACATGGGTTTAGCTCGTAAATGGGTTAAAAAATGGCCCCAGTGAGTCAGGACGACATAGCGAGCCCGCCGCGCCCGGGAGGATGTAGGCAGACAATGGAGCGGACTCGGCGACAATGTAACGCCGACTAGAAGAGACGGGCTCGTCGATTTACATGCAATGACGCCGATTAATGCGGCAAATATGCGATCTTTTCGGGGCAAGACAGGGGCGAGGTCGAAAACGCGCGGGCCCACTCGCGAGCCGCGAGGAGAAATTCGCGGACTCTCCCTTTCTCCCGGCAGCGCGACGAAAGGCCAGAGGGAGCATTAATATGCGATTAGAGAAGGGGGAAAAGTCACGGGGGGACAAGGAAAGTCGAGACTGGATGCAACCAAGAGTTGCACTTAGACTGGGTTCAAACCTCGGCCGCACCTACAAAATTCACGGGAGCTTCCCGGTCACATCCCGTACCGAGGGAAAGATTTCATTCAACCAAAGAAATAAACTGTCAATTCAAAGAATAATTACTTTACTTAATCTCGAATAAATTGGATGCAACGGAATCCTTCTATCTTCGGAGTTATGAGAATTTATTTGAGTTCATCCGTGTCAAAGAATTGTTCTCCGAATAAACCAAATATCTCTTTGGTACTGTTTCAAGAAATATTCCTTCGGTTCAGTAAAGGTTTTACTTTTTTATCGGTGTAAATGTAAACGCCCTCGCGGAAATCTCGCGTAAATGGGGAAAGTGTACCCTTTCCACTTACCGCATTGCTGAGAAATTAAACGCAGCAGACGTCATTGACTCGCGTTTCTTTCTGCGTCATCCGCGATGGTTATTTGCACATTTCTGACCTATTGGAGTATCTTATTAGGAGCAATTTTGCAGAAATCCTGCAAGTGAAGGGGCTAATTAATACGTGACAGTCTTTAGAAGGAAGATGAGTAAATCGTAAGAATATGAGAATATGTTATATAACTGGTATTTTTATCATGAGTGAAACCGATGAGTGCACCGTATGAGTTTGAGATTATGTTATAATATAATTTTTTTTTAAATTTTGGTCCGTTATAAAGCGAAGTATGGGGATCCTTGCAGCTTCCCGCGTACATCCTCTCGTACCGAAGGATGTGCCGGGTTCCTCGAGGTCAGCGACGAGAGTTCGCCACCGGGGATCGGTTAGTTCCAGATCGAATTGCAATGGTTTGCTTGTAATCGGCAGCCTACGTCCAAGGACCTCGATAGAAAGTTCGCCGGTCCCAAGGAGAGCGATCGGCGACAACGCGATGTTGTCACACATCGAGATGCATCGGGAAGAGTCTCGATCGAGGGAACGAAAGTTAGTTAAATCGGTCCAAGGAGATTCCTAGTGATGACCGAAATCGGTCTTTGTCGATCTTGCAAAAAGTACAGGACCAATACCTAGCCAAACTCGCAAAACCAAAACCAAGACTCGAGTATGCAGAATCAAGACCAAGACCACGATAGTCTTGGTCCCGGTCTTGCATTTGCCCATCATCAAGAAGGACTGACGTGCAAAGTTTGTCTTGATTTGCAAAAAGTGCAAGACCACATAAAAAATACAAGAGCAATACCTGACCACCCTCTCAAGATCAAGACCATGGAGATCTTTGTCTCGGTCTTGCATTTGCCCATCACGACGAAGTAGTGACGGGCAAAATCGACTCTTGCAAAAAGTGCAAGACGATGATATTCCCGGTCTTGCATTTGCTTATCACCAGATAGCGATGAGCAAAAAATCGATGTCGTTCTTGATCTTGCAAAATTACGAAACCCCGGTAGGCCCGTTCCTGATCTCGCATTCTCCCACCAGAAGAAGTTCCCCCGTTCCTGGCAAAGGATCGTACTTCGCAGGCCTCTCTTCTGGGTCAAGGCACCGGGCGATCGGGGCTATTAACTCGACGAGCAGTAAGGATGACGTTTTAGGGTCATAATGCCCCCAAGGGCAGAGCGTTCGATGCGCTCGGGTTTAAACGATCCGGGGTTAGGCCGGACGGGTTAACCTACGCGGACCTCACTAATTTCCGCAGCCTGGGAACGAGTCGAGCCGGCCATTTTTTCCCCGAGGATCCACCTCGGGGAAGGTGGTCGGGATCGTTGGTTCGACACAAGGCCCTAATAAGCCTAATCAAGGGATGGACTCTCTGCCTCCTTTCTCTGGCAACTGCAGGAGCAAGGATCGGCCGTCAGGATCAAGACCCTGGAGCCTGGGAGTCCTTCCAAGTCCCGACTCGCCAGGACCTCCTTCTAACCACCAGCTCCCAGAACACGGCACGAACCTCTACGTTCTGAAATTTCAACTTTCAGGAATCCACCTCGCTGCAATGCCCAGCCTCGACTTTGGAAGTTGCACCAGAGTCCGGGAGCGAGCGTGGGTGCGTCGGGTTAACGGTCGATCATCGGGCGCGAGCCAATGAGCGGTAACGAAGAAAGGTGCGAGAGGAGGTTAAGGACCCTGCTAGGACGATAACTCGACAAACTCGTCCTTCCACCAGGCTCGTATAATACCGAGCGAGCGAAAGAGAGGCCGAGGTTTCTCCCGATGCGGGGAGTCCTAGACGAGTCCGCGTTTACGGCCGATCTCGAGTCTCCGAGCCCGATCCGGTCCGCGGGTGTCGCTGAGCCTTACGATACCTGAGGGTATCCTCAGGTATCCTCAGCTATTTTCAAGCCTCGAATCACCAGCGAGTCGCCATTTCATCCACGATTAAGGTCGGAGTCCCACCGAGGGCGGGTGTCGCACGGAGCGCGTCGCGACAACGCGTAGATAATGAACACTTAAAGTTGATTGCACCAACCGTGATTAAGATGAAGTTCCTTAACTATGATTAATTAATATTGAATTACTGCAATTCATGTTAAACCAACGAAAATTAGGCTAACCTAAGATTAAAATCCATTGTTTGGTAACCATCCGATGTCGGGTGATTAACTCTAATCACGCGTTAAATAATCCATGATTAAGGGTTTTTTACTTGAACGTTGGGACAATCGGCCCTTAAGGTGACACCAAAGTAGCATCTGAAGAGTCAAACGTTCCTGAAACTTTTCTCCGAACTGAGTTAACCGAATCGTTTCAAACTTTACCAAGTAAATGCCTAGACTCTAAGGGAGGTTCTGATCCCCGTGTAATTTCATTTTTTTTATACAAAATTAAAATATGTCTGTGAACAAATTTTTTTAGAAATTAAAATTTGAGGTTGTAATCACCTTAAGGTGATATGAAAATATTACGTGTACAAAGAAATTAAAAAAAAAAAATTGAAATTACATGCAATGAATTTCAAATAAATGGTATAGATATTTGAGGTATATATCTTCATATGTTCACGGAAATAACTCGAATTTCTTACTTACGAGTCAGAGGTAGAGCGTCCCGACGCGTCTGGGCGCCACAACGGTCACGGCGAGGCGGGGCCCGCACTTGGCAGGGGGCAGGGGCGTCGCGGAAGACGCGGGCGGCGTTTCCGGCCCGGAACAGCCGACTCCGCTTCCGCCCCGTAGCTCCCACACCAAGTTCGTAAGAGAGCGTGGTCTGCTGAGTCGGCGAGATCTGTTGAAAAGACAAAGTTTCACCGACATCGGATCATCCCCTAAAAATTGAACGTAAGTACGAACATCACAAAGGTTCGAAAATTTACCTTTATCGACAAAACGAACCATTACTCGACAATACATTCTCCGGCACCATCAAGCCCACCTTCATATCAATTTAAATAAACCGTGTGGTATTTTCCAAACAATTCTTACGGTGCAGCAAAATTGACTACAAGCTTGTTACCCTTGCGCCGTATGAGACGGTCATGTAGCCTAAGGGTATTTAACGCCCTTAAGGTAATACGAAAGGGTCACATATATGTATATATACCTATATATCAAAACGTCCAAATATTTATAAAACTTTTCTCCGAACCGGAGATAATTTTAAACTTTAATACGTGACAATGGAGATCCTAACAAAGGTCTTGAAACTCGAGAAATTTAATTTTTTTTTTAGTTGTCCGCGATGAATAAACAAAATTTGTTTGGAAAAATCGAGCCCTTCAAAAGGATCATGATCGTCTGGAGAAAAGTTGTACAATTATTTTGACTTTTATATATATATATATGACACTTTCATATCATCTCGACCCCTTGCAGTCGGTGCATCTGCCATTCGAGTCACCTGTGCCGACTAAGAGTGGCCTCTAGAATGCAAAAGGTTAACCCTCCCCCTAAATGGCCGAGCAAGTGGACGTACCTCTTTTCCGGGAGCTTGGCGCCAGCCCCGGAGTCCCCGGAGGTCCTGCCCCCCGAATGGCTGGAATCGAGGGTGCCATCCAGTTCCATGGCCTGCTGCAGGTTGGTGAGGCTCTTGTACCGGATGTTGAAGAGGGGCGAGCCGCCCTTGAATCCCGGCGGGGTCTCCTTGAGAGGGGAGGCGCTCTTCTGCCTGAGGAGGGGGCGACCTCGCTGAGTGCCGCTGTTCTTGACGTAAAGCTTGGCGAGAGGTGGGGGTTTCTCGAGCCTGGGCAGGGGAGCCTCCTTGACGGCGCGGCGGGTCCTCTTTTCGGCCTGGATCTTCTTGGTGGGGATGGTCTCGATGGGCGGAGGCTCGGGTCGGTCGTCGAGAGGCGGCCCGCTCGGGACGGCGGCGGGCGTGAGGGGTGGGCTCGGCTGGGAGACGGGCGCGGTGGCGGCGGGCGCGGGCTCATAGGGCGAGCGGGCGCTCTTGGGCAGGGGCGCAAATCCTCTGACGTAGTCGTAGATCTGGTCGATCTCGTCGTAAACCTCGGTGTAGGAAGGAGGCACGCGGTTCTCGTCCCGGGGGTAGTGGCCGTGGTGGTAGTGCTGAGGTGCCGCCGGCTGCTGGTGGTGGTGGTGGTGGTGATGGTGGTGGTGGTGGTGGCCGTGGCGGTGGTGGCCGTTCGGCGAGGCGGAGGCGGCGGCGCCATCCGAGCTGGCCGACCGCCGGAGGAAGCCGGCCGGGGCGGCCGCGGGCGCGGCGGGACCGGCGCGGGCAGCGCGCGGCTTGCCCTCGCCCAGCCGCCCGTCCAGCACGTGCGCCCGGTCGGCCACGTCCGCCACGAGTCGCGAGGCGCGCTCGACGAGCCGCGCGAACTCCGGCAGCACGCGCAGCGCCTCCTCGTTGCGCGCCCGCACGAGCTTAAGCGGCGCGGCAAGGGGCAGCGCCACGGCGGCCGCCTCGCGCTGCAGGGGCAGCGCGAACACGTGCTCCTCCTCGAAAGTCGACAGAAGACGCAGCTCGGGGAGGAAGTGCGAGGAGGACTTGAGGCCACGCGGTGGCTGCCCATGGACGAGGCGGACGGTCAGGGGCAGCCGCTTGCTGAGCAGCGCCCGGGCGGTGTGGGCGCCGCTGATGTTATCCTCCCTCGCTAGCGCGCTGAACCGGGCGCGCTGCTCCAGCGCTAGCAGCACGCTGTCCCCTCGGCAGTCCAGACAGCGCAGGAACCTGCCGCGCCCCGGGAGCGTCACCTCCCCTGCGGTGCTGATCGTCTCCCCGGCGGCCAGGGTGCGGGTACCCTCGGGCACCACCAGGCCCGAGTCCTCGACCTTGCAGGCGATGCCGCGCAGAGTTTCGCGCACCAACGCCCCCTCTTCCGGGCACCGCCGAGATAGCTCGCCGACCGACTCGATGCCTCGGACCGCCCGCCCCTCCTCGCTCAGGATCTCGAAGTAGCCCGCGTAGGTGTCCGGGATCGCCAGTCGAGGACCCACCCCTACTACTCGCCGACCCTCCTTGATCTTCACCGCCTGCGCGACGATCTTCCGCCGACGGCCCGCCGAGACCAGCAGCGCCGTGCTCTGCAGACTCGGCGCCGGTAGCGTCGGCACCCCCAGTCCTCCGTACTGGCCCTTCGTGATCTTGATCACCGCCGGCAGCCGGCACTTGGAGACGAACTCGCGCAGGTAGGCCGCCTCCTCGGCCCAGCGCGCCGCCGCCACCACGATCTGCCCGTCCGTCGCGGCCATCTCCTCCTCCCGACTACGGATGCCACGACCGGCCTCTCCTCTGCCCCATCTGAAACCGAACGCCGAACTGAGTCAGTACCTGGATCCCGACTCGGCTCTCGCAACGAGGGCGAAACCTCACGAGAGACACCCAAGAAACCACAAGAGTTGCCCGAAAAGTCGCAAATCCAAAAATATACCAGAGGCGCCCACGATATCGCAAATGCCCCAAAAATGTTCAAAGGCGTTCAAAAATTCGCTAAGGCCGCGTGAAAATTCCAAGATGTCCAAACATTTGTAAGACGCTAAGATTTGGGAGGCTGGAATAGATCGGGGGTGACCCTTGGGAAATTCATTCCTCTCGCCTGGAAAGAGATCACGATGGAGGGGGCCGATCGGACGGATCGCGACCCACGGAAGCGGCGCATTGTGTCTCGGCGCCGTAGCAGCTCCCTGAGAGATGGCCCGCAGTCGGTCCGAGATAAGCACCGGGTGACCAATGACCCGAGGCGTCGTGACAGGCGCGCCTCTAGGAAGTCATTCGACACACCGCTCTCCCGGTCCCGGTGGCGACCTCTCTCCCTCGCGCCGTCTCCCTCGCCCTCGGGGCGCCGCCGCGCGCGCCCTCTCTCTCCCCCTCGCGGGCGCCGCGCACGCGTAACGGCACAGAGAGAAGCGATCCCGGTGCGGAGCGCGCCACTCGTGTGTCGTGCGTCCCCGTGCGTCCCCGTGGGTACCCGCGAGTACACGCGGGTACACGTGGAGACCCACGATGCGCGCGCGCGCCTCTACGAGGAAGGGCCGAGGCCGCTCTGCCCCCGTCCCCCCTTATTTATGCGCCCCGCTGCCCCCTCGCACTCCGCAAATTGCACCCGAGGACTCCACTCGAGGGAAATGCCTCACCTACTCCTGACCTCCGATCGCGGACCCACTCCTACCTCCTCGTGGTACGGAGATTTCAGGAAATCGGTAAGTTTGTCCCGACTCGTACTTTAATTTTTCTATATTAACCCTTTGCAGTCCTAAAGTCAGATCTTTGAGTTGACTACCTGCGTATAGCCAAATTGCTTGAAGTGCAAAGGGTTGATAAGGGTTGCGAAAAAATTACGAATTTTCATATTCACGAATTTAATGCGCACCCGAGGAAAATATATCTACGGATGATTTCAGGAAATCATTCGGCATGTACCAACGCGTACTTCACTTTTTGCATCTTAGCACGGGTTGAAATAAAAATGATTTTATTTGATATTCAGGAATTTAGTAAGCGCTCGTGGGAAATGACTTATCTATTAATGATCTCCGATCGCGGAGTCATTAATATCTTCACGTGCCGACAATTTCCCGAAGATCCGTCATTTCAGACCGATCCATATTTCACCCTCATGTTTGAATAAAATTAAGGAAAAATATTTGATATTTGCGAATGTATTTCTACCTTTTTACTACCTTCACGGAGAACCCTGTACGGGATATTTGCATAAACCGAGCTAAAAATCTTTCTTCTAAGCCGACGTATGCTCCACCCCTTTCGTCCGAATAAAAATAGAAAAACATTGAGTAGCTTTTACGCCGCTCTATTTCGAGCGGCCAATCGTTTTCGACAAGGCGCGAACTCGAGGTGGAAATTGGGTTTTAGAAACGTCGCCGAGTTCGTAGTCGACTCTAAACTACGAGGACTTTCATATCCCGGGGGCACGACGCCGCCGTAGCAAGAACGCGTTACGATTTGGATCGGGTGAACTGCAATTACAACGTCTATGTTTCTTCGTTAATGGCGCTTTCGTTCCGCCGCGAGATCGAGGCCAGAATGGAGCGAGAAAGAGAGAGAGAGGCGCAAGGGGAGGACGAAGTTGTGCAACCAACGGAGGTTATCGGTACACGACGAAAGCCCGGCGTAACGAGAAAGGACTCGCCTCTCCGGGGATCCTTTCCGTCATCCTAGTCCATCGTCGCTTTCCTCCGGGCCCGGACGTTTTCGCGGACACTTTTATTTTCGCTAATTACTTCTTTCGCCGCTCCCGAGAGCAAAAGCGAGTCACTCCTGGCAAGACCAATTAGGGGCACCGGTACTGGTTTGGCACCGTGGGATGCCCTGTTAGAAAAATTCGGCAAATTCATTTTTAGCACGGAAGGTTCTAGTAAAATTGTCAATTTCACGTACTTGTGTACCAAATTTATAACATATGTTATGCACTTCATTTGAAAATTCGTTTCCGCTTGCGATGTCCAGGTGATTTCGAGCATTAGAATGCACGATTGCCCGAGTGACTCGAGGAACCGTTCATTCGGAAATCAATGAAGCCGATTTCCTTCTTTGAGAATCGATTGCCTTTGACTTCACATGATAAACAACAATGCGATTAAGTAACGGGGACGTTCGGCCGTAAAATCGTGACAACGTTTTGGAGATTATCAACTATTTCCTGCGATTTCTGCTCGCGATTTCGAGCTGATTTCCACACGATTTCGTGATTTAAAATCCATGATTGCGTGAACGAATAACCCCTCGGGTGATAAACGAGGGTTTGCGAAATTCCCGAAAATGCGAGGAGTCCAGCCTCTCCGAAGGCGGTGACCCCTCGAGTTCCACCTGTTGCTTCCCGGAGGCCTCGCTCGCGATCGGAATTTCAAATGTCCAGCTGTGCGCTGGGCCGGGGTAATAAATTTCCCGATTTATATTCTCGAGCCCGGTGGTTTCCCACGTCGGCCTATGATGGGCATGGCCCATGGGCCCGGGAACGGCGAGCGAGTCGGCGGGTCTCGAGATGCACTTTCTCGATCGGTCTTCGTCCCGGCGACGATCGCCGGTCTCTTCGACTCTCCATTGTTCGACTCTCGCCGGTTTCTCGATCGCGCGGTTTCTCGATTACGTGGCTCGATTTTTACCGGCTTTTTGCTCCCTTGCGCCCCCGGGACATCGAGACATCCGTGGTCTCGATGGATCCTAAAAAAAAGGGATAAAAGGGCAAGGACCAACGTCTTAAAAAAGCGTCAAGTGACGTCACGTCACGTAACATGGGTCTGAGAACTCCTGGCCTTAAGGAGCTTGCCCACTCCTTACAAATTCACGAAATAATATATTAAGAATCTTAATATTACTCAGATTTCCCTTTTTAACCGCCAAATTTAAAGGGACCAACATTATCCAAGTCTGCAGCGCTCCCGAATACTCGATTTTCAGGTTTGCTTCGATGCTACAGTTATACATAAGTGTAACAACATTGAATAGCCGTAACATGAAGCCAACACTGAAATCTAAGATTCGGAACAGGTACGTACCCAGATAATTTGGTCCTATTTAAAATGAGCGATGAAACACGTGAATTGGTACAAAATTACGGAGTCGACGTCCACTTTGCGCACCACGGCGACCTTTAAGGTGACATGAAAGTGGCATCAAAGAACTCTCGTTTGTGAAACTTTCCTCCGAATAGATCGTACCGAATCGTTTCAAACTTTACAACGTGAATGCGAAGACTCTAAGGAAGGTTCTGACACCCATACAATTTTACGTTTAATGAAAACATTTAAAAACTGTGAAGAAATTTTGAAAAAAAAAAAAATTGAATTTATATGGGTATCAGTACTTTAATTACGGCCTCCATATTCGCGTTGTAAAGCTCAAAACGATTCGGTATACCCAGTTCGGAGGAAAGCTTCACTTACGAATGATCTTTCAGGTGCACGCTTTCATAAGGTCGCGGGGAGGACTACCGTACAGTGGCGCGCGATAAGGTTCTTTCTCCCCCTCCACTCTTCTTCTTGCCCCCTCTCATCCCTCTAAGGAGCAGCTAATAAACTGTCTCCGTTATTCCCCGTTGGTCGCGAGCGCACGGTGAAAGCCGACTGCATAATATGCCCCCTCGACCGGCGTTGGCCGCGATCTATAAATCACTGGGCAAAATCGGTTGCGCCACCAGTTTGTCGGCTCGTAGGTGGACACACGCGGCTCGATATCGACCCTGAAATCGACGATCGGATGCCGATAGCGCTTTCTCCCGCCCTTACGCGCAGACTCGCCTAGGTTAGGTAGTATCGCCGATGATCTCCAGAAAGAGGTGGCAAGTGGGAGGCTCCCGGGGTTATGCCATCGGTGCTATCACGCGGGAACCTCCGGAGGGCAGTTAGCGACTCGGCTCGATAGCGAGAGGGAATAATGGCCCTCCCCCTCCCGGGTGGCACGTATGTGATCGATCGACGATCGATCGGATCCTCGGAGCCGGAGAAAGCGCGAGCGGTGGAGGCGCCTTTGTTGCAACGGGAACTCCCTCGAGATAGGCATCACTCAATCCGGAATACTCTCTCTTTCTCGAAAAAGAGAAAATAAATTCTCTTACTATTACAGTCTCTTCGCCCCTTTCTAATCGTGCAACACTGAGATAAAAATGTCAATCAATGAAAGAAATATTTTGTCGACTCAAAGAATAATTTGACTCGAATGAATTTGGATGGAACGTTTCTTCGGAATTATGGCACTTTATTTCGGTTCATTTGAGTCAAATAATTGTTCATTGAATTAACAAAATATTTCTTTGGTACTATTCAATGAAGTGCTCCTTTGGTTTAATGATATTTTTATCTCAATGTACGTATTCAGCATTTGGTGGTCTCAGTCGAGTCCACCGGCGGACTTAATTGAATCTTTGTACTGTATACGAGAAGGACCCATGAATTTCGTCCGCACCCTGTTAAAAAAAAAAAATATCGTTTAACAAAAATAACAGTTTTGAAAAACGATATTTTTTCCAGCATTCCCAAACCACTATTCTAACATGTTATTAATTCAGGTATATTAATGTACTCGTTTTTCTACCCACTTTCATAGAATTATAATACGATATTACAAGTTCATTTCAAAGTTTATCCTTAATGTATACTAATTCATTTCTTTCTTTCATATTATTTGATCACAACCTTATATACTAAAGGCATACGAATTTTATGAATATTTTTAACAGTGCACGTTGAAAGGACGAAATCGAAAGAGACAAAGATGGTACACGGAGGAACGCAGGGAACCTTCTAAAAATGTGCAAGAGGCGCCGGAAAATTCCCAAGAGCCGTCCG